TAAGATAGTTTTGTTAAAAAAAAAAAATTAAATATATAGCTTTGAAAACAGAATCCGTTTTTTCGGGAGTACCCCCACATACATTGAGCAGGAAGGGAAGAAATGTTGGTAAGAAAAGAACAAGAAAGAAGGAGAAAATATAAATCATCACTTTTCTTTGTGCCAAGGGAAAACAAAACACTTGCTTATTTGGGTCTGGCACCCAATTTATAGGTTAGCAATCTGAGTCTGAACCTAACCCTTCATGGATGAGTGCATCGACTTGCTTGCGAATTAGCGGATAGAATTACTCAATTAACCTTGAGACTAGTCCATTCCAGACAGTCTAGTTAGCTGTCACACACGGTATCTCCAGTCTAAAAGGAGAATGTCAACTGTGAAGCTAAATTTAACATTTCAGGAGACACTTTTCTGTCAGTCCTTCCCACACTTGCTACAAATTTGAAGAATATGAATCCAGGAAGCATTCATTTATCCTAAATAAATATGGTGTGCACTCTAGACTTATTGGCAGATCTCATTGTTTTAATTACTTGGAGCCTGTCAAAACAGAGGCTGATGCACACAGAAAGGAAATCCATGCCCTACATACTACATTTACCCGGCGCAGATGAATGTTTACCCTGCAGGGCGGAGTAGATGGCAAGGGCTGGGAAAAGGCAGGAGCCTGGTCTCGGTAGCTCACACATGGTCAGGACGGTGCCCCTAAGCTGGTCTGCTCCCTTGTTGACAGAACTGTGAGGTAAAACTAGACAGAAGGAAGAGTCCATCAAACAACACCAGACCATGTAAATGTAAATGCTTCTCTCTCTCCCTCTTCTACACACACACAAACACCCACACAATTTTCTCAGTGCTCCTTAGTAATTGGTACATTATTCAATGTTGGCTGTGCTGACATTTCTATTGCTACTCTGACAACCGAAACAGGTTGGTTAATGTTAAATTCTGTTTTTACAATGCGGAATCTCTCTATTACTTTGGGTTAGGAAGCCCACACACAGAAATCACTTTTTCAAGTTTAAAGGTGCTAACTTATGGAGAACATGTACATATTTCTGACTTTTCCCTGAAGATTGATTATAAGTCATAAGACTATTGTTATAATCACCAGTGATCAACTGACATTAAAACAGACTTTGAATGAAAGAGTGAGAGAAAGACAGAGAGAGAGGCAGGCTATGTAGGCATCTAAAGGTTTTGCCTCGTAAGCTTTTAAGCTTTTATTGAAAACAAAAATGTTCAATTGAATGTAAATATATCTTTGATTGCCTGCTGTCACTGGATAATTTACACATTAACATAAGCATGCTTCAAAATAGTATAATAATGTAAACTGATATTTAGACACTATGTATCAGGTACTGTTGTTCTAAGCAACGTCCATGTGAGAACTCATTAAATAACCATGCCACGTTTGAGACAGACACTGTTCTATCCTGTTGAATCGTTGGGGAAACTGAGAAGGTGAGTAACTTTTCAAGGTTGGCAAGCGCACACAGCAAGTGAAGGGTAAGCCTGGAGTCAAACAGTTTAGCTACAGCGCTCTTGCTCTGGGCTCCTAGCCTTACTATTCTCTGTTTTAGCAAATGGAAAATACAATCGTATTGCCCCCAAATACCAAGATATGACCGTCTGCCTTTGTAAAGATCACAGCTCCAGACCTCGGGGGAGCAGTTTTACTCTACTGTCCAGGGACACTCTGAGTGGGAATTGACTCAACAGAAATGACATGGGATGGGATGGCCCCAACATTCCAATTTGGTCTTGAGGGTGGGAAACAGGAGAGGGCTTCTCTGTTTACCATCAGGTCTCCTGGAGGCCTCTGAAAAATGCACACAGGTCCAGGCCACATCACAGACATTCTGCTTCCTCCCTTCCAAGGTCTCAAGGTGACCCTGTTATGGGTGCTTCTCTAGCTGGGCGTTTGCAGAGAAATTAGATGGTAAGTCCTGAGGAATACCGCTCAGATGAGAACTCTCTTTGGGCTCATGGGAAACTCAATGTCATTCTTGGGACTGACATTGGAGATGGTGGGCGTGGGGTGGCGTGGGGGTGGGTTTGCATCAGTGAGGAGCTACAGTTCAGTTCCAGAGAGTAAACTTTCTGGCAGAGGTAAATAAAACGCTATCCATAAGGCTGATATCGCCTGGATGATAGCAAAATGACTAAACAAGCGGCACAGAGACAGCGTGCATTCACATGAATAAAAAAAGCTACAGAAGCATGAATTCAATATTGTGCCCGCCTGCCTTCAGTGTTGACAGATAGGAAGTAGCTGATGTTATTTTCACTGAACCATGGGAAAAGATCTCAAATTTGTCTCCCATGCATCAGCCAAACCAGTACTTTATAACCATGCTGTGTGGTTACAAGGTCTCGGGAAAACAGTCTAATGCTGAACTGGACCAACACTGTCTGTGTATAGAGGGCAGATAAAAACCCAATTGTTTAAAAGCATGTAGTCAATCACTGTGAGTCTTAACTAAATAAAATAAAATAAATAAATAAATAAATAAATAAATAAACACAAATCGTGAAATGTATACAAGGAAGCCTCAGCAACTTTGTGGAAATATTCCACTAGTGATTAATTACATTTTTCCATGAGCTTTTTCGAAGTCCTCTGGTGTAAGGTAGATAGAGATATCTGTCCAATCAAGAACTCTAGGGGTTTTGAGCTGGAAAGGGTATTTTAATGAGTGGGTTCAACCTCTGTGTTTTCTATGCAATCGAGTTTAGGTCCGCAGAATTTGTTTTTGTGTGTTGATGCCAGCCCCAGCGCTAGGTGTGGGAACCACTCAGGGAGAGGGTGCTGAGTTAGAATGCAAGAGGACTTCTAGTTTTTGAGAGATGAGTTGGGGAAGTGCAGCCCAGGCAAGTAACTGGTAAGGGATGGTAGACAGGTATTGAGGGAATACCAAGACTTGCACTGTCACAAGACCAAGGTAGGCAAGAATTAGTAAGTGGTTAACTGTATCCAATGGTAGAGAGAAGCCTAGGAAGATAAGAACTGGAAAATAGTCATCAGCCGGGTTACTTGTTGACTGATGGCAACTTTAGCAAAAGCTGTTTCAGTAGCACTATTACAGTGGCGGGCAGCATGCTTCAAGCAGTGGATAGAAGGTAGTAAGAGCGTTGACAGCCACAGACAGAAACCACTTACAATAAGTTCAAGGCAAACAAAAAGGATCCGTAGACAAAGAAACGCTGCAGGGGAACAGTAAAGAATGAGAGGAATACCTAAATGATGGAAGCACTTTTGGAGCAGACAGAAGAAACAATGGCCTCAGTTCAGCCCCAGGGATCAGCCTGGGGTCGGAGGAAGTTGCTCTGAGGTTTTTCAGATGTGAGGAAAAGATTTATTTCTATGGCTAAGTGGTTCTCCAAGGATAATTTTTATTTTCACTTCTTTTACCCATCTAGAGCTTTTTATGGTAACTGATCTAAGGTTATGAAATCCTCTTCCCTTATGGTATATGATACATTCTGAATGAAAGAATAATAAACAGCCAGCGCCAGGCCTCAACCTTTCACTCCTGAAGGCCTTAGACCAGCTAGTGCTGGCAGCACCGCCCTTCCCACACACTCCCTACCCTTCATCCTCCACACAGCGAGCCGTTTCCTCATTCTCCGGCTCCTTCCACCAGTTACAGAAATTGGGTTCTCACACCATCGGGAAACACTGAGGAGATTAACGGGGAGGAGTTTAACTATCTGCAATCTTGTAAAGGCTGGCAGCTGCTCAGCCTTGCCAACTCTCTGCTTTCTTTGCTTGGTTTCTGCCAGAGGCAAGAGCAAGCAGCAAGTTGAAGAAAAGGATGATAGCAGAAAAGAGCCCCTTCTTAAACGAGTTCAAAGAGGAAAGTGAGAGAGAGAGAGAGAGAGACTTAGGAATGACTACTTGAAACCCTGGTTAGGAAAAGCAGGTAGATCACAGAATTGAAAGGTATTTATGTCTATTTGTTTAGGATCATTCCGTTTATTCACAACTAGGGCTTCCCTTAGACAAACCCACCTTTAGATACCAGCGAGAGCTTTCCTGAGGACTAAAATCTCTGTGTGCAAACCAACAGCTGCTCGGTCCTCCGGTGAGAGGTGGAGGCAACGTCCTCTGAATCGGCACGTGGCCTCTGACGTTTTAGCAACATCTGCACTCGCAGTCCTTGATCATTAAGACCCAAGATATCTTTTTCTAATTGGATCAGGCATAGGTTCAATTCCATCATTTCACCTTTAATCTGAAATATCTACAAACCTTTTATACAAGAGAATGCAAAAGCCAGAATTGGATCCCTTAAATTCGTGCCAGGGGCACTGGCAGTAGCGATCTTGCTTGAAGTCATGGACTCAGAAGTTTTCACCAGTCCTTCACAAATTCAGAAGTGTCAGATCCTAATGCTATCTGTCTTTAGAAAGATGTATTCATTGCCCAAGCCTTTATCAGGCACTCAGCATATTCCTGATGTTGGGCTGGTTGCTGAGAAAATCAAGGTGAATGCAATATCAAATCTGCCACTCAGGATGTCATCCAGAGGAGGGAAAAGAGCAAATATGTTTGTTTGTTTTAATTTTCATACTCTGATTTCTTTGGAGGTTTGTTTATTATCTTTCCTCAGAATAGCAAGTCCTGTGATGTAAGCACTGAATTGTGTGAACAAGAAAAAGGAGTACAGAAAATTTGGTTATTTGAAATAAAATTTCTGTACAAAAAGAAAGGGAATTCGGGAGCTGATATCAAGGGCTCAAGTAGAAAATGTTTTGGAAATGATGATGGCAACATAAGTAAAAATATGCTTGATACAATTGATGTATGGAATGTTATAAGAGCTGTAAAAGCCCCCAATAAAATTAATTTTTTTAACAAAGGGGGATTTCATCTACAAGAGTATTACATTAGTATCAGAGAAGTGTCCACCACCCCACCACATCCAATCCTAGAAGCAGTAGCAAGGAAACACACAAAAACAGTCACAATGAGAATAGAAACAAAATCTTACCTGACTTGCCCACTCCAGCTCTCCCAAATATTGCCAGTTTGACCTCTGCACTTTTAGCCATGATGAGCGTTGATAGATAGTTCACTGTTGTTAAAACTAAAGAGCTGAGGAAATCTTTGTGGTTCTGGCCTTTGGCTTCACCATATCATTGCAAATCTTTGCAATTTTAGAAGAGTCCACAGCCTTAAACAAAAGATATTTGGGAATTCATCAATGACTGAAGAAAGGACTTAGTATTAACTATCCACTATCTGCCAGCCCTGATACTGTAGTAGTGACGCACTGGACTGCAATCCACATGGCCGGCAGTTCGAAACCACCAACAGCTACGTGGGAGAAAAGCTGGACTTTCTACTACCAGAAACAGTTCTGTCTCAGAAATCCACAGGGAGTTGCTATGAGTCAGCATTGACTTGATGGCAGCAAGTTTAGTTTTTTTTAATCTGCCAGCCAACATTCACTTTATCAACATTTTCTTATTTGGTCTTTACCACAATCCCCTTTAAATTAGTTTACAGTAATTTACTGTAAACTAAACAACTCAGCTAATAAAATTCCGAGCCAGCCTTTGAATTTAAGTCTGCATGGTCCCTAAACGTGTGTTTTTCACTAGGCAAAATATCATTTTTTGGAAAACACTTCCTTAAAGAATTTGTTTCTGAAGGTTGTTTCTTGGAAATAATTGATAACAAATGTTTGAAGCATGTGAATGCATCCATTTACCATTTGGCTGCAAACATTCAATATATAAACACGCATGAAGGGGAAATGGCCTATCCAATATACAGTCACATTAGCCATACCCAGAGTAACAAAACGTCATTGTGCATTTCAAGGTTACATTTTACCCCACTTTATACTAGAGCATATGACTAGCCCCTTGACCCACCCAGCTCCCCCACCAAAAAACAAAAGACAAAACAAAACAACAATAACAAAACAGATGCACAAGTTCCAGGAATTGGAAGAAAGAGTCAGAGTATAGTTTTATATCTTGCTAGACAGACACAATGCCCCACATACACAAAAAGTGCCCAAAGATAAATGCCACACTCCTTTTTAACGGCACTTTCAGGACCAAATGAGTGCTGGTAACACAAGGTTAAATGCCTGCTGGGGGGCCAGGAGGTTGACGTTAGATGCCCCCCAGGCCCTCTGTGGGAGAAAGACCTGTCAATCTGCTTTCATAAGGATCACAGCCTTGCAAAACTGAAGGGAAGTTCGCCTGTCCTGTAGAGTCACTGTGGGCTGTGGCTTCAGTTTGGGTAATGAGGACCAATTGCCATCCAGCCAATTCTGTCAGAACTGCACTCCACGGGGTTTTCAGGTGGTTGATATTTTTGGAAGCTTCACAAGACCTATCTTCTGAGGCGCCGCTATATAACATGACCTCCAATCTAACAGTTAGCAACTGAGTGCTGAACTGTTGGCACCGCCCCGGGGCTCTTTATAGAAATGTAAGCACATGTTATATAGGTGGGTATAATAAGACAGACACCTAGGGTCTTCGTATCCTGGAAATGTGAAGTCAAAAAGAATCTTGAGGTGAATTAAAGAATCCTCCAGGCACCGCGGGAATCCTTTTTTTTCACAATCAGATGGTTGCCCTGTGTCTTACTGTCCATTTGCCTACATGAGGTTGGCTACCTCTGAAGGCTGTTATATTTCTAGCCAGTCACTTCTGATTAGAACTATCATCCTTCAATCAAAGGAGCCTGGGAGGCATAGTGGGTTATGAGTTGGGTTACTAACTGCAAGGTCAGCAGTTCGAAACTAGCAGCTGTTTTGCAGGCGAGAGATAAAGCTTTCTATTCCCATAAAGAGCTATAGTCTCATACACCTACCAGGGCAGTGGGCGGTGCTACCTTATGGGTCAGCACTGATCTGATGGCGCAGTTTGGTTTTCTTCATTTGAGCTCTAATCTGTTTCCCCGTGACTTCTACTTATCTGTCCTGGTTTT